ACTACTACTACTACTACTACTACTACGACTACGACTACTACGATCTAGAGGCAGTTCAGAGTAATAATATTCTGCTACAGATTACATGTACGGAGTATCAATACAGATGTACAGATCACATTACTACAGATTACCGCAGTGGTGTCACCTAGGCAGAGGGAAGACTAACGATAATATCCGAGGAGGAGGAGGAGGAGTAGGCAGTCAGCCAGATGCAGGGTGCCGTGCAGTGTGCGGGTGTCCTAAGGCTAAGGGTGTCCCCGTCTGCGGCTGGGGTACGAAATGGACGAGGACAGGGATGGGGGCATGTCGCAGCGAAAGGTTTCAGTTGGTATGATGGCGAGTCTGACGGACATTTGGAATTTCACTGGAACATCGCCTCTGGCATTTGCTGCTAAGGGGTATCCGTGCCCACAATCTATACGTGTGTACAGATCATCTTCTTACGGGTCTTCTCAGCAGGTAGGTAGGTAGGCGAGCAGTGATGACGCTCTGTACAGATGACGTGTATGTAGTATGCAGTGCTCAGGTACGGGTAACACAAGCTACATGTATGTCATGGCCATCGCCTCGGAAGTATTATCATCATTCTACTGTCAGTATATATATATATATATATGTGTGTGTGTGTGTGTGTGTGTGTGTGTGTGTGTGTGTGTGTATGACCAGTGACCAGTATATTACATATTACCAGCAACCAAGCTGACTCTGTACGCAAAGTGCCAGTGCCAGCCAGACCTCTGCATCCTGCCGATCCATTGGCGCGGGGGACGGGTGGAATCCTAGGAAGGGGGAGGGGCCGCAAAAAAAGGAGTGGAAGGTGGAAAGCCATCGATCGGAGACCACAGTGACCACCGGCCGCTGACCACCGACGGCGCCCGCTGGAGTCAGCCATACGTGCATGTAATCTGTACTGCTCGTAAGGGTATTATTAAGTGCTGTCAGGACGTATCACCACCAGGAGCGAGCCGCCAATAGAGTCCACCTCAACCGCTGAGAGCTGACCTGGAGCCACTTAGTGGGGTAGTGGTCGTGGAGGGAAGCGTGCTGAGTCGGTGGTGCTGGTGCCGCAATTGGCATGGGCGGCTGGGCGGTACAGGTGGAACCAACCCCTCCCTCCCCCCCCGACCCCCTCTCTTCCCTGTGATCCTTGTACGTGGGGCCCTGACGAACTGGTCGTTGTGTGTTGTGTGTCTTGACTTCTCGCAGAGATCAAGTCATACGGAGTTACTACTGCACGGGTACTGTACAGATTACACGTATCCGTATTCGTAGAGGGGGAGGGAAAGAGTCTGCAATACGGTATCACTCTTACCTTCTCTACTCGCAGAGACAAGATTCTCATCAACCTTTTTTTTTTTTTTTGGTTCCTCTTACATAGAGTGAAACCGGAAAATCGAATGCCTAGCTAGGGCTGTCGCATCTGTGTTTATGGCATGTGGCTTCCTGCTACCGACTGCGCCCTTCCTCTCCACCTGTAGTAGACTCTCCCTGACTCTCTCTCTAACTTGCAGTCTACTGGCCTGACACACTTGTGAAGCCGGACAATGCACTCGTAGAGAATTCTGCGACGTCGGGCTACATGCGAAACGGCTATGCGAATAGTGATACTCTCGGACCTATCGTACTAGCGGTATTCAATAGTAATAAGACCTATACGAGCAGTCGTGGTCTTGTATTACACGTATTCTATAAAGAGCACAAGAGAGAGAGAGAGAGAGAGAGAGAGAGGGAAGCACATGGAGGCCCCCCCCCCCTCCCAATTGTGGCGCTGGGCCGTCATAACCGCCCCCGCCATAGCCTGGCGCTGCGACTCGCTACGACTCTACTGCATCTGTCGGGCGTCTGCGGTTTGCCTCGACGGCATCAACGGATCAACGGATCGACGGGTGGATGGAATCACGGATGCCACGGATCCCGGTGAGGCGCTTAGACTGAAAGAGGTTCCGCGCGTCTTCTTCAGGTTCTTTTTCCGGTAATAATACAAGTTGTGATTGAACTTGGCCATCGCTGTCCCGGTTTGGACTATTGTCACTACTCGTATAATCTGTAGAATCCGATTGAATGAATCTCGATTGCGATTTTGCAATCGATGCAATCGATACATACATATCATCATCACTCCCCGTCGACAGATGGCCCTCGACGTCGCATCGACCCCAGCCCTGCGTGCCCTTGCCTGTCAACGCTCAGGCGCAGCACGAGTATGCGTACATGCACTTTTCTCTACGCCTAGCGATGCTCTCTCCACGTCGTCGTCGTCGTAAGAGGAAGGAGGAGGGAGGATGTCGCCATTCCCCGGCGGAATGATTCATGTCCACAGGCGTCCGTCCACGGGCGTCGATGCTCCACGGATGTAGGCAGAACGTTGCATATGATCATCATGAGTTATGACGCCGATATGAAATGTTGGGCACGTGTCAGCCTCTAGTTCTCTGTCGGAATTCGCATACTATTCCCGTCACTCATACTCGTAATACTGCGAAACGTCAATTCTGTCCGCGGTATGATTCACAGCTTATTTGTGCGCGCGTGCCTCGGTGGAGGAAGACTGTGATACTGGTAGAGGGAAAAGGAAGAAGACGTAAAAATAAAAATAAAAATAAATTAAAAAAATAAAAAAATAAAAGAGAGAGATCAACATGGAATATAAAATAAAAACGGACGTCCGATGCCGGTAATCGCATTCCTCTCAGTCGAGAGTCAGCACGAGTTGAGTCTTATCCGTAAGCTTTTTTTTTTTTCTGACCTTGGCCTCGACTCTCAGTACCATGTCAGCAATCCTATTCGATATGTCTATGTCTCTTATGCACACCGTACGGATATGTCCCGCCGTATTTCAGTCCCCCCCCCGTCAATATGCACACTGATTGCGACCGACGGACCGTATTACATGTAGATGCACACACACAGCCCTGTCGCTGTCATTCGACGGCAGGGGCAGCGAGGGGGAGAGAGCAGCAGCAGCAGCATCGTCATGGGAACTGTCTCCCTGCCAAGACGCATACGTGCTGATGATAATACTCTCTAACAAGTCAACCCGTGCGAGCTTTTCTGGCTGATGGCATACCGCTGTCCAGGCAGGTGATGCTCGATCAACAATGGATCAATGTTACTTTGCATAGCCCACGGTACGACGTGATTGCGTACGGAGTGAGTACGAAGACCTAATAATAGTTGGTGATGAGGTGTGTGGCCGTGCGGGGGGAGGGGGGTTTGGTCCAAGGGCCAAGACGCAATTTGCCGTCGATCAACTTTCGTCACTCATCGCCTAGACAGGGTCAGAGAGGAGCGTCAGAGGAGAGAGAGAGAGAGAGAGAGAGAGAGAGAGATGAACTTACGGCAAAAGCACTCAGCTGTCCGGTGCCACCCTGCTGGTAGATGGCGACNAGAGAGAGAGAGAGAGAGAGAGAGAGAGATGAACTTACGGCAAAAGCACTCAGCTGTCCGGTGCCACCCTGCTGGTAGATGGCGACGATCTGGGGGCGGGCAGCAATAGAATCATCATCATATCAAATGGACCACGAGCCCCATTACGAATGATTTTCTTCTCAGTTCTTATTCTTGTTTCTCTCTTCTCTTCTGTTGGGCTTCCTTCATGGACCCATGAAGCATGAAGGGAGGGGGGGGCCAACCTGGGCCATCCATTGTTCTGTTGGTGTCCGTCCCATGTCTCACCTTCCCCTCATTCCAAAGAAGAGCAGCAGCATTCCCTTTACTGGTGGTTAGATTGCCGATGCAGGGGATGGGAAAAGAAAAAGAAAAAGGGATGTGAATTTCGTCTGTAGTAAGTAAACAAGTCAACAAGACCGCATCCAGCGCATAATGACTGTCACCATGCCCGTCACCAGTCAATTGATTTGTATTTTTTAATTCTTTTTTAATTCTTTTATTTTCTTGACTCATTCATATATATTTCACCAAGGACCAAAACCAAACACCGCTCCTCATCACGTTTACACGCACTCTCTCACCTTCTCTCATCTTGCTTTTTTTTTCTTTTTCTGCACTGCCTTGTTGAATTCAAGGTAAAATCAAAAACTAGCTTGGCGATGCGCAATATCCCCACATCGCTAAGATCACCAGCCCGTCTTCTTAGACTTGACGCGTGGCATACATGAGGGGAAGGGCAAGAGAAGAGAGAGAAGAGAAACGGGTATGGATGGACACGAATATGTTTTTTTTTGTAGGATTTTTTTTTTTTTAAAAAAAAAAAGAGTACAAAAAAAAGATTGTGCATTGCGAGATTATACTCGTACGAGTACTCCGACACCATCATTCTACGCGTATCGCTTTGAAAGTCTTTCTCCGTCGTTCATCTTCCCTACATTTTCTGCGTCATCGCTAGCCTCATCTGAACACTTGCTGTACGCGTAATACTTTACTTGGCAAGACCCAGTTAATAGCGCGCGCGCGCAACATTGACAATCTCCATCGCAGAATTGTCAGGACACGCATCATACCAGTGATGCTAGTACTGCCCGTAACGGTCTCCATCATACTAGAGAGAAGCATTAAACACATCCAAGGTAAGTGATACTCTCAACACACACTTTCCAAAATTCCAAAAGAGAGAGGGAAGGAGAGAGAGGGGGAAGGAGAGAGGGAGGGAAGGAGAGAGGCAGGGAAGGAGAGAGAGAGGGAAGGAGAGAGAGGGAAAGAGAGAGAGAGGGAGAGAGAGGGAGAGAGAGAGAGAGAGAGAGAGAGAGAGAACTGACGTTGCACACCTCTCAGATCCATCATGGCCCACGTCCTAGAAGACCAATTCGCCTACCACGGCAGCCACGGCTACTATTTCAACAACAACCAGTGGGGGCGCGACGAGGGCGCGGGCAACCAGACCCTGTACGTCGACCGCGTGGAAGACACCGGCGTCGCCTGGCACGTCGACTGGACCTGGGAGGGCGGCGAGAACAGTGTCAAGAGCTACCCTTACTCCGGCCGCGAGATGCCGGACGAGAAGAGGCTCGTCAAGGACATCGGCAGCATCCCCACAAAGGTCGCGTGGGACTATAGCGGGAAGAACATCCGCGCAAACGTCGCCTACGACCTGTTCACCGCGGCCGATCCCAATCGTGATATATCGGGAGGGGACTATGAGCTCATGATCTGGTACGTAATATTCGTATCTCTTTTTTTTTCTACTCCTCCTCCTCCTCCTCCCCATCCTACATCTCTCTCGACGATACGCACACAAGATACTTGTGAGGAGAACACAATATCTTGGTATGACTGACCGAAAAAAAAAAAAAAAAAAGGCTTGGTAACCTTGGAAATGTACACCCTATCGGTTCGAACAAGGGAGGCGTCAAGGTCGCCGGTCGCACTTGGGCTCTGTTCGTCGGCAACAATGGCAACATGAAGGTCTACAGCTTCGTCGCCCCCGATACTGTCAAGTCGTTTGATGCCAATCTCATGCCGTTTTTCGATTACATTACCAATCATTATGATTTTCCTGCCGGCGATCAGTACTTGACTAGTGAGTTTCTCTTTCTTTTTTTCTCTCTCTCTTCTCTCTCTCTCTATCTTTCCGTCTCTCTCTTTTCATTGAGAGAGTATATGTAATATAGAGGGGGGGGGGGGGGGGGGGGAGGAGTATGTGTCTTTATTACAGAAAAAAAAAGAGATAAAACCTGACAGTACCCCAGCCCTTCAATTCGGTACCGAGCCATTCACAGGATCCAACGCCACATTCACCACGTCAAACTGGGAGGGTCACATTTCCAACGAGGCCGGCGAAGATTACGATGACGATGACGATGGTGCTTGCTGCAGTGCATGTGTTGTCGTCTAAGGTCTCGTATCATAATATTGAAATCGAGTTTCTTTTTTTTTCCGAAGAAAAATTTCCGTAATATATAGCACTGAAGTTGTATAGATCGAATAATTCATCACAGTTATAACCCATATATCAATAGAATTCATATTGAACATTAGAATTTAGAGAATGAAGACGGAGAGAGAGAGAGAAGGAGAGAAGCCAAACGGAAAAAAAGAAGAAAAAAGAAGAAGAAAACAGACCACGAAAAAAACAAGCTGCATGCCGTCACTGCGTACGTTGTTGCCCCACTTAAACTTCTCGCGACTCTTCCACAATCCCATCACCAACACACAGACAGACACAGACACAGACACATACAGACGTATCAAGTCCAACACCACCACCACCACCACCACTATCATTCCTACGAGGTTTAGATTGGTGAAAAAACGCCAAAGATCAGTCTGACGTAATGGCCCCTACCAAACTTCCCGAGTCAGGTAACCCACTGTATGCCCCCCCCCCCCAACCCCTTCTCATCCCATTGCCCTCTCAATCTTCCAGATCTCATGCTCACATCTTTTCCTTCTTCTCTTTGTCCCAGTGTCTTCTTTGATATAACCCTCGGAGGTAAGTCACGCGCACATTCACGCCAGGTCTCTCTCATACATCATATGTGTCCCTTGTCCCGTCAAGTGTCCTGCCTAATCATTCGTTTTTAACAACCGCCCCCCTCCTTCCCGGTCCTTGAGATGATGAGTGTGAGACCTTGTCATGTCAGAAACTACAAGAGAAGAAGAAAGTGATAAGAGAAGATGGAGAGGATGGAGAGAGGATGGATGAAGCAGGAACCATGGTGGCTGACGTTGACGCGCAAGGTGAACCCCTCGGTCGTATCCAATTCGAACTATTCAAGAATGTCGTCCCCAAGACGGCCGAGAACTTTCGTCAGTTCTGTACGGGGGAGAGCAAGAATGCTTCCGGTCGACCCCAGGGCTACAAGGGATCCAAGTTCCACCGCATAGTAGGCCAGCGTTCTTTTTTTTTTTTGTTCCGTCTTCGCCCGCCCACGCCCACACAACACGCACGCACACACGCGCACACGCATACATTATCAACCACGGCGTCGTAGTTACCATTGATTCCCTCGGTCATGTGTGGCTGACAGGTATCCTTAGATCCCCAACTTCATGTGTCAGGGCGGCGACTTTCTCAACGGCGACGGCACCGGATCGACGTGCATCTGGGGGTTCAAGTCCTTCGAGGATGAGAATTTCAGTCTGAAGCACGATCAGCCTGGCCTTCTCTCCATGGCAGTACGTGCTTCCTCTTCCTCTTCCTCCTCTCCTCTTGGTTTCCTCCCGGCTCTCCATCTCACTGACACTCTCCAACACTAGAACGCCGGCCCCAACTCCAACGGTAGCCAATTCTTCATCACGACCGTTCCCACCCCCTTCCTCGACGGTAAGCACGTCGTCTTTGGCAAGGTCGTCGAGGGGATGGACGTGGTCAAGAAGATGGAGGCCACCAAGACGGGGTACCGGGGTAAGGACGTGCCCAACCTCGACGTTGTCATTTCGCAATGCGGGGAGATGTAATCTTCTTCAAAGGTACGAGGAAAGTAGGAAGGTTAATGTTTATATCAATCTCTTCTGTTTAAGAACAATGATGTATTTTTGGTTCTGTAAGCAATTATGAAAACAAAACAAAACAAAAAGGTCATTTATTCGCTGCAACATATCTGTCTTGTCCTTCATAATCCCATCTTTCTATGAACCCTGGTGTTCATCTCCCGAGGACAGCAAGTGGAATGAAAAAAAAAAGCTTCATAAGAAAAAAACATGAAGGTAAAAAAAGAAAAAAAAATAGAGAAAAAACAAAAGAGAAATTCGTAAAAACCTTTCCCATTCGGGTTCCAAAACCATCATCCACATTCATCCAGTGATATCCTCCATCCCTTGGAGAGAAAAAGAGAATAAAGCAAAATCAAAATCAAACCCAACCGATGCCGTCCCTCCCCCCCTTTTTTTTTTGCTATACCTGATACCCCTTAAAACCCCTAAACACCAAACTACCCCCCCCCCCCCCTTTTTCTTAGCAAGAGGAAAATGCATTGTCTACCAAAGGAAAAAGTAAGACCCCGAAATGAGAAAGAAAGAGAGGTGGGGGAGGGAGATAGAACATTGAAAAAAAAACCCTCTTTTTTTCCATAAAATACCAAAAAAAAGGAAGCAAGAACAGTAGAAGAGAAAGATAAAGGAAGAGATAAAAGATCAGCTCTCCACCTAAGACGTTCCAAAAGTCCAGTCTGACCGACGGATACGACGGGCCGTAGGCGTAGCCATGGCAGTGGTAGTCTCGTCGACGTAGACGGTAGCATATTGTGTCTCCATCTCGATGACGGTCTGTGTAGACGTGGGCGTCGTGACGGACTCGTGACACGGTTCCGTGACGGTGGTCGTGACGGTAACCGGGGCAGCAGCCTCAGCCTGTGCGACCGACGTCTGTGCCGGGGCGGTAACGGTCTGCGTGACGGTGACGGTGGCGGCGCTGACGACATCGGTTGGTGTGGCCTGGACGGGGGTCGTGGGCGTCGTGGGCGTCGTCGCCGCCGTCGTCCCTGTAGCGGCAGGAGAGGTTGTGGTGTCGCTGCCGCCGCCGCTGCCGACCGGCTCGATGACGGGGACCTTGACGTCGAACGCGGTCTTCATCTGTGCCTCTATGGCGGTCCTGTAGACGGCCGAGAGGGCAGCCTCGTCGGCGGGCAGGCTCTGGGAGGCGTAGTCGGACTTTTCGACGATGCTGATGTCCATGGTGCTCGCGTAGCTCTCGTTGGAGGCGATCATGTCGGCGGTGAAGCCGCGGGGGTCCTCCTCTCCCTGGACGAAGGTGCCCATCCACGGGTAGAGCCCCTGCTTGGTGCCGTCCATGTCGATCTTGGCGGTGTCGAGGAGGGGCCAGTCCCAGTACCAGTAGATGGTGTAGTTGGAGCCCACCGCGAGGTCGTCGGGCAGCTGGATCTCGGACTGGCAGTCCATCGAGGTGGAGGCGTCGGAGCCGACGGCGGCGGCGCGCGTCGTCGCCACCTGGGACGACGGGTTGCCCTCGTAGCACTGGCCGTCGTCGAAGTTGCGCGTGGCCAGCAGGCGGCCGCGGCCGTCGCCGCCCGTGCCGGCCTCGTTCCAGGCCAGGTGGACGTCGGTGAGCTTGTCGGCGTCGGTGGGCTGCGACGTGCCGTAGATGTACACGGTGCCGCCGTTGAGGGGGCGGCCCTCCTGCGGGTAGCTGACGTGGCCGTTCTCCAGGTGGAGGACGGCGATGCGGTCGCCGGGGGAGGCCTCGAGCGTTTCGTCCGGGCGGTTGGCCTCGACGGGCCGCTGGTTGATGTTCTCCTGCCCCGTGTACTGCCCGTTCTCCGGGATGCGGTAGACGTACTCGGCGTCGGTCAGGCCCGTCTCCGCGCTGAGACGACGAAAGTTACCCCCGCGAGGGTAACCCGGCGCTCCGACGAACTTGCGCGTGCTGGCGTCGATCCTGTAAGCTGCCTCGATCCATGAGTGGGCCGTGGTCGATGCGACGTAGAGTGAGATGGCCAGGGCGGCGAGACTGGGTTGGGGAGTGACGGAGAGTCTCATGTTTGAGATATCAGAGTTGGGCTTTCTCTCTCTCCCTCTCTCTCTTTTCTCTCTTTTTCACCAGAAAATAACAAGGAATGTTTTTGTGTTTGGTCCGGTGTATATATGGCGAAGGTGGCCAGTGTCTTGTACTGATATATGGTAATATTGCTTTGCGCGTATGTGTCTGTGTGTGTGTCTGTGTTGTGTGTGTTCTCACCAGGAGAAGACAGAAAGGAGGGTGTCTGTATCTGAAGAAGGGAAAGGATAGAAGAGAGAAGGAAGGGAAAAGAAGGACTAATTTGAAGAAGAACGACGACAGGGAGGAACGTGAGTTACACTCGAGGGGGGCTTTTCAATGTTAGCTATTGTTGTTCAGAGTCAGGGAGTTGGATGCGTGACTCTTTCAACTATTGGAAAAGTGAAAGGGAGAAGGAAGGGCTGACGCACTGCTAAGGGAAACAAATAACCACACGAGACCCCCAAAAAGGATATCTGATGGAGGCTTATGATTCTGGTAATTCTGTCTAGAGGTGAAGGAGAAGAAGAAGAAGAGAGTGATGTGAGAGAGAAAGAGAGAGGGAGAGAAGAAGAAGAAGAAGAAGAAGAAGAAGACGAAAAAAGAGGAAGAGGGAAGCGGTTAAAACAATCAAATGGTGGGACAAGCAAGCTGAGAAAGGAAAAGAGAGAGAGAGAGAGAATGGAAACGGACAGTTGACTGTCAACGCATCGGCCAGCCGTTTGCAAGTGTCAAAGAAGTGATGTGGCAGATGGACCAACTAGAGTGCTGGCAACCCCCAGATACCATAAAAAGAAAAAGAAAAGTGAGGAGGAAGTGAGGAGAGAGTGAGGAGGAAGAAGTGAGAGGAGAGGTGGAGGATGGATAAGAAAAGAAGGAAAGGAAAGGAAGAAGAAGAAGAAGAAGAAGAAGAAAAGGTCACACAACGCCTAATACAAAGAGAGGATCATGGTATGGTAGAAAAAAGGAAAAGAGGAGGAGGAGGAGGAGGAGAAGGAGAAGAAGGAGAACAAGAAGAATAAGAAGAACAAGAGCAAGAACAAGAGCAAGAAGAACAAGAAGAACAAAGAAGAACAAGAAGTACAAGAACAAGAAGAGCAAGAGCAAGAACAAGGGAGACAATAAAAAAGACCCTCCCCGGCGGATAAAGCGTCTCGAAAAACAGGTCTCTATAACCAAGGCGTCTCAAGAAACAGGCCTTCACGACCAAACAAGACACAGTCAACCCATGGTTCTCCGGGGGGGAGGTGGTCTCTATCTCTCCGAGGGAAAGCAAGGGCCATTTCCCGGCAATCTCGGCCGCCCCCCCGTCATTAAAGAGACGCCGGGTCTGGTCGAGAGGTGACATTACAGGTTACTATGGATGGTCATGATAGTAGGTCGACGCGCCATCTCTC